TATATATATGCTTGAACGGTGTTCTACTACTACCAGGATGGGACAGGTATTTTGACAACATCAACAACAAGCTCTACATACACCGACATCAGCAGCAATACCTCCCACATCCTCCACTACGACCCGGCTCACAGACAATACCATTTTCGATTTTCCAATTGCCACGCACTAGCCGTACCAAGTACTTCAGACCCAATAGCGCAATACACGCCGACACGTTCTCACCACCTTACAAATCCACGCGCGACCAACCAAGGTTCCGATACTGCAGCGACATGCCAGCATTTGCCAGCCACTATCGTAACAATGCAGCGTTCAGACTTGCAGTAGCCACCACCAACCAGCACTTCCACTCACTACTGACAGGCAATCCTGCCCCACTGAATCACAACAAAATCAAGGCCATCCAGGAAGTCGCGCAATGGCTCACCACATGCCACGATGGCGATAAACGGAAGTACGACTTGGCAATCAACATCTACCAAACGCTGGCACTCCTACAACATGATGGCGTTTCATAGCACCACCAGGCCCACGCAGCCGTTGTCTACCACCAGCTCAAAAGACGGTGACATTTCAACCACCACTCACTCGACGAACGACAGACCCGACACAGGTCCAACCCTATTGCCACCCACACACACACTCTACCTGAAACAAACAACTCCACCACAGCGGGCCACACCAATTGCCACAAAAACACAACCTCCAGGCCAACCAACTTCGCACACCACAATCAGCGACACGATAGTAACCCCACCACAAACACCTCATACAAAGGCCCTCACCACATGGTCACCCACACCACGAGTCACTACTTCCGTTCACCCACCACCACCCACTCTCAGAACCCCCATTTTCTGCCCGCCCTATGGAATTGTAATGACACAACAGTGGCTACAAGGCATATCAACTCACCGCCTTGACCACAGACCTACGCCACCTTACAAGTATACTTTCCAACCACGGCACCATCAGGCACTCTGAAACATACCATCTTCGTGCAGCACAGCGAGATCAACAGCAGTGGACGCAACTTCGTGCAGGACATCGGCGACCCGCTGTTCCACGAATATATCGCCATCGTACGCCCACACACCAAGCATGACACGAGCAGCACCCCACCGACGTCCGCACTCGCAATCCCCAACACGGCATACCTTTCAAAGAAGCACCACCGAGCAAGCCGTACATTTGTATATTGAAGGTGCCACCTAAATTCCAACAGCCACAGACCAACCCAGCTGACGGCAACAACAACAACACGTGACAAACACACAACTACGTACAGCTCTGACGAACATGACGAATCGAACGAGTATAGGGCAGAGACTACCGTGACATCCACCACAAGCTCTACCCCATCGCCGATTACCGCAAACTTTCAATGGCTGACCGTCTGACCTCCTCTCCATCCTGCCCTGGACAACACCTCAGGCCAAGAGTCCAGCGGCAGTTTTTTGACTTAATGCTCATCCCACTCCTCTCGGGTGACGTTGCTTATCTAGTCTGCGCACGTTTCAAGAGGTCAGCTGACCTACCAAGCATGTCTTTTGGCCCCCTACAGCCGGGGCCTTGAAGAAGGAACCCTTTTCGTTGGGGAGGGGCTCCGCGTTCCTTAAGTGTTTCGCAGCTTGCCTCAGGTTTTCCTTAGGTTTTCGATCGGAAATCGAAGTTTAACTTATGGAAAAAAGGGGCCTCGTTCCTTATTTTGGGTTCCTTAGGTCAAGGCCCCGACTGTAGCCCCAAGTGGTTGTGCCCTGCCGACTGGTACGGACAGCATTTACTTTGCGTGTCCTTCGGATGCTTAGGGCTCCTGCTCTCCACGCATTCGGGTGCCCACTGCCCCTTCTCACGCACCTCTCCCGGCGTTGCTGCTTGCTCTATTCCCCACCCGCGCCGCAAGGGCCGCAACCCACGTGTTGCCATGTGTTTTTTTGTCCCGCCTGCAATGGGCATGGGCTACTGCGAGCCAGCCACGACAGACCAGCCGTGCACAGTACACACTGGGGCCTTGGTGCCTGGTTGTTCGCCTCATTCTTTCTCCACACAGGGTCGCCGCCCAAGATTTGCACCTTGTCTTGTCGCGCCCGACCCAGGCATTGCTACAGCGGGGACTGTTGATACCGAGCCTTTCTCCATCGCTGCAGCGCTCAAGCAGCCCACGGGCAAGCCTGCCAGGCCAGCTTTTGATACTTCCTCGTCTCTCCGCACGCCTCTCCCACTTCCTTCCCGTCGGGCCCCCCCTAGCCCCCTGGGCAGGGCGGGCCCCTTCCAGCCGGTTCTGTCTCGCACTCGCGGTCGCGCTCCACTCCCTTTCTTCCCTGACGCCTCTCGGCAGTACCCAAGGATTCAGGCCAGCATATCGGCCAGCCTTAGGACCAGAGTCGTTGATATTCAGGGTTTGTGCCCAACCCGAAACGAAGATGCCCACACACACACCGCGGAGGTCCAGGGACCCACAGGGGTCGGGGTAAGCCCAAACATCCTGGGCAGCGACCCAAGGACTGCCACAGCTGGCACTTGACATCACTTGTTTTTTTTGTTGCTAGCCTATATCGGCAAATCGGGGCGTGGCGGGTTCTTCACCATAGGATGGGCGGCGGTGGTCGGGCAGGGTAGCTAAGAGTGTAGGCGCGGCAACTTTACCGCCCCAAGGCCAAACTTTCAGGCCAGCCTTTACCTCAGGCGTTCAGGCACTCATTCGCCTACCTCTCACCGTCGCCTGCGCATCTCTGCCGCCTCCCTGGTTCGATTACAAAACACAGATACTCCGCACACGCTCACGGCTACCTCTCAGGACAGCCTTCGATGCTTCCATGGCGCATTTTACGCCCACTGTTCCGAAGACAGCTATTTTTGGATTTCAACACGTCCAATGTATTTGTACCCTGCTCGTGCCTTTGGCAGCCCGGCTCATAGCAGATCTCACATTTAGCTGGCGCTTTTTCAGTGCCGCACCTTACAGGCCCACGCTCGCTTGGCCTCATCTCGCCTTTGAGGCGGCCTGTGCCTACGATACTCGGGGAGGGCTTTACCTAGAGGAGGAGCGATGGAGAAGAGAAGGCTCACTAAAGTACTTGGTAGCCACGCGTACCTGGCGGGCGTCTGCCCTGTGCTCGACTTTTGCATTCGACCCCTTCGACGGCGCGCAGCCATCTGCGTCGCTCGCGAGCGACATGTACCTGGCGGGCGCCTACTAACTGTTCCACGAGTTGCCACCAATCTTCAAATACCGCCTGCCCCGCGGCGCCCGCCAGGCACTCTTGAGCAAACTCGTGATGGTTCTAGTTTCGCATCGCTTGCTACAGCTGCAAGAACGCCACACGCTGACGCACTAGGTCTGCGCAGCGTCGAAAAATGACGAGGATGAGGATGCGGATGCGGCTGAGGAGGGTAATGTAATGATGATGTTTGATGATGGTGACGGCGGTGCTGCTGATGATGATGCTGATACTTGATGATGATTCTGCTGATGTTGATGTTGGTGATGCGGATGATGATGCTGACGATGATGGTGCTGATCGTACTGATAACCATGCTGATGCTGATGAGGATGATGCTGAGGCTGATGATGCTGATGATGGCGATGGTGCTGAGGAGGAAAAGGAGGGAGAGGATAGGGAGGGTGAGGACGAAAAAGAGGAGGATGAGGAGGAGACGGAAGCGGCGGAGGAGGCCGAAGAGGAACGGGAGGAAAACAAGGAGAAGGAAGAGGAGGAGGAAAAGGAGGAGGAGGAGGAGGAGGAGGTGGGGGGAGGAGGAGGTGGGGGGAGGACGGGGAGGAGGCGGAGGGAGGAGGAGGAGGAGGAGGAGGAGGAGGAGGAGGAGGAGGAGGAGGAGGAGGAGGAGAGGAGGAGGAGGAGGAGGAGAGGAGGAGGAGGAGGAGGAGGAGGAGGAGGGAGGAGGAGGAGGAGGAGGAGGAGGGAGGAGGAGGAGGATGATGAGGAGGATGAGGAGGAATTACATGCGGCGGAGGAGGAAAAGGAAGAGGAGGAGGAGGATGAGGAGGACGAGGATAGGAAGATATGGAGGATGATGAGGAGGAGCAGGAGGAGGGGGAGGAGGAGGAGGAGGAGGAGGAGGAGGCGGGCCCAGAGGGGGAGGAGAAGGAATAATCATACTCAGAAACACAACCATAATCATAATATGATTGATATCAAGAATCATAATACCAGTGCGGATAATAATATTCATACAAACAATACTGCGGATCCTTGCAAACATGATAAACCGGAGAAGACTAATAATAATGATAATACGATCATGCTACGACTAAGAATGTTAGTAACCATACCCAGGATATCTCATGTGAAGACGAGCTAGCATAGTCATAAAATAAGGAAGTACTCGTACAAAGAAGAACACTACTAATCTTACGACTACTATGACTACTTAATAATATGAAGATGATGATGGGGGAGAAGGAGGATGAGTAGGGGAAGGAGTAGGTGGAGGAGGAGGAAGAGGAGGAGGGGAGGGAGGAGGAGGAGGAGGTGGGAGGAGGAGGAGGAGGAGGAGGAGGAGAAGGAGGATGAGGAGGAGGAGGAGGAGGAGGAGGAGGAGGAGGAAGAGGAAGAGGAGGAGGAGGCTCAGGAGGAGGAGGAGGAATAGTGTTTTTAGACGTACAAGCACAATCATCATAGTATTCGTCATCGTAGCAAGCAGGAAAGGACTACCAATGTTGATAATAATATAAAAACGCAGAATAACGCGAATGCTAGAATAGTAATAGTAATTCGACGACTCATATTATGATTAAGATGAGTCGTGACTATATTCAGGGTGTAAGTGTGAAGACGAGTTTGAAGGTGTTAGTACTAAGAGGAACAATGCTAATACTATTAGTGGTATGAGTATTAATACTCAGAAGAGGAGGTGGAGGAGGAGGAGGAAACAGGAGGAGGAGGAGGAGGAGGAGGAGGAGGAGGATGAGGATGAGGAGGAGGAGGAGGAGGAGGAGGAGGAGGAGGAGAGGGGGCGGGAACAGCCGTGCCCAGGAAACTGTCCGCTCTCGCCGTCACCAAGGGCCAGGATGGGTTGATGCGCATGTTGGCGGGCCCGCCCTTGGACGCCAACGTGGGTGCCCAGAGGTTGCCCTGCTCTTGGGAGAAAGTGTGTCTTCTTGGTTGGCCGCCTCAGTGCAGGCTGGGCTGGGGCTCGGGCGCCCAGCGAACCCAACCCATCTCGTTGGGAATGTCTCCGGGTGTTCTCTCTTTTTTTTTTTTTCTCTCTCTCTCTCTCTCTTTTTGGCCTTTGGAGGCCTTGGAAGCATTTACAGAAGCCTTCGCGGACTTCGGCCCCTTCCCCTCGACCTCCTCCTTCCGAGCTTTCCGCGCAGCAGATAAGACGCGGCGTCGTCGTCGTTGCCGTCGTCGTCGTCGTCGTCGTCGTCGTCGTCGTCGTCGTCGTCGTCATACTGCGGCCGCGTCAGCGTCGGCCGATGCGCGGCACCTGCCGCCCGACAGGGCCCGGGAGAGGGACTCGTCGAGGACCCCTTCTGGGGCTTCGGAGACCTCCGGGTGCTTCGGGGGGCGCCGTGAAGAAGCCGCGGCGCCCGTCAAATCGCCGGCTCGGCGTCTCGGTCCCGTCTATCGGGCCTCCTGTCTCCTTGCCTCCTAGATAGGGTCCAAGCAGATGGGGTCAGAGGGTCGCGCCGCATCGCCGATGTATCGCCGATGCGGCTCGATGCGGAGCCCGATTTTCTCCACGCCGACGTCGCCGATGCATCGCCGACGTCGCCGATGCATTGATGGTGCATCACCGATGCATCGACGATGCATCGCCGATACATCGCCGATGCATCGGGTGGCCAACGCCGTGAGACATCGCGCAGTCGGGGGCCTGGCAAGAGCAGCACGGATGCGGCCGACCACCCATGGCAACAAAGTCGCAGATTTTTCAGAGCAGAAGGGGGGCTCTGAGCTCTGCCAGACGAGCCATTTTAGATTCCCCCCTTTCGGGGGGCCCCTGGGCCCGCATCCCAGACCCTCCCGTCCCTCCAAGACATCTCCGAACCAGACCTTCTCTTGCGAACAAAATGCCTCCCTGCCACAGTGCGGGACCCAGAGATCACGCAGGGGCTCCCCCCCCTTCCGCGAGGGAGGCCCCCCAAAGACCACATCTGGACCTCCCGCTCCTCGCCGCCAGCAGCCCCCTTGGCGCCTCTCGAGAGGAGCGCGGGTGTCGCGAGGGCGCGCAGCCTCTCCGCGGGGCAGGGCTCCTTCGAGACGCCGACCCCCCCCCGCGGCCTCCACCCTCTGGGCCTTTGGGCAGCATATGCCGCGCAGAGGCCGCCACCGGAGGTGCCGCATTGGCGGCCGCCGTCGAGGCCGCAGCGGCGGTGAGCGGCGTTAGCGACGCCGACGCCGACGCCGACGCCGACGCCGACGCCGACGGCGGCGCCGACGCCGACGCCGACTCTGACGGCAACGCCGACGCCGCCTCCGACGCCGACGCCGAGGAGGGAGGAGGGAGGAGGGAGGAGGGAGGAGGGAGGGGAGGAGGGAGGAGGGAGGAGGAGAGGAGGAGGAGGAGGAGGGAGGAGGAGGAGGAGGAGGGAGGAGGGAGGAGGAGGAGGAGGAGGAGGAGGAGGAGGAGGAGGAGGAGAGGAGGAGGAGGAGGAGGAGGAGGAGGAGGAGGAGGAGGAGGAGGAGGAGGAGGAGGAGGAGGAGGAGGAGGAGGAGGAGGAGGAGGAGGAGGAGGGAGGAGGAGGAGGAGGAGGAGGAGGAGGAGGAGGAGGAGGGAGGAGGAGGAGGAGGGAGGACGAGGAGGACAAGGCGGAGGACCTTCTCCTACTGGTTTGTGCCGGGCCTCGGCTCGCCCCGGGAAGGCTGCTGCAGCGTCTGATCGAGGTCCTGCTCAGTGACAAGGCTCCGGGATGCTCCTTGCTGTGCGCGTGTTTCGCATCTGTCGCGTTCGTACTATTGCTCGTCTCCGCCTTCTTCGAGGCGGAGGGGGGCGAATGTGGAGAATTGCTGGATGGATGTAAGGATGTATGGATGGGTATTATGTGGATGCTATGATGGTGCGGAGGAGGAGGAGGAGGATGAGGAGGAGAGGGAGATGAGTTTGGAGGATGGAGGGGCGGGCGCAGGAGGTGGAGCAGGGCAAGCACATAGGAGCCGGAGGAGTTGAGCGGGTCGAGAAGCGAGCACCTGGACGCCCGAAATGGGTACTCCAGATTTCGTAATAAAAGGGAGGGGGTCACAATCCTCCCAGACGAGAAGTTTTAGACCCCCCCAGACCATCCATGAAAGGGCGGCCCTTTGCCCAGACCCCCCCGAACCCTCCAAAACAGCTCAAATCAGACCCCCCCCCCAAATGTGACCCCCCCTACTTTATTATGGAATCCGGAGTACGGAAAGACTGGGTACAATGCCCAACAGCACTTCCTGCTCATTCTGAGCAGGATTCGCTGTCCACGCCGCCGCAGCCTGTGTCCATTCGAGGCAGAAGGCCGCCTGCCCAACAGCGGCCGCTGTTGGTTTGGGACAGCATTTGTTGTTGGGCATTGTGCCCATTTTTTCCGTACCCATTTCGGGCGTCCAAAAGAGCAGGTGCTTCCATGTGCTGCGCTCGAAAGGGCAGGAGCTGGAGGATGCGGTCGGTAATCGGGCCTCACATTGGCTGTGGAGCTCGCTCTCCGGGCATGTCGCGTGCGCCCGCGCGCTCTCTACTTGCGCACGATCCACGAAGTCCGAAGGTCGTGAAGAGAAGGCCCAGAGGCCCGCGTAGGCCCCTGAACGGCGCACCCTTGGGCTCCCGGACCTTTATTCTGCGTCCTAAGCCTGCGTCTTCATCCTGCGTCCTTATCCTGTCATCCTGCGTCCATGTCCTGCTATCTTGCGCCCCTTATCCTGATCCTTCGTTCTCATCCAGCGTGCTTATCCTGGTTCCTAATCCTGTTATCCTGCGCCCTCAGCGCGCGTCCTTCTTCCTGCGGGTTCTCTGCACACGTGGCGCAGCCTGTGCTGTGCCGCCAGTGGCACCAGCCAGCGCACGCGGTGGCGATGCGGCGGCGGCGGGCGCCCACCGGCTCGAATCCCTCTGGGGACCCCCTCCTCCTTCTCTTCCTCCTCCTTCTCCTTCTCCTCCTCCTCGGCCCCGACCCGCACACGCGCACGCGTACCATGTGTCCATGTCCCGCGCGCGCGGGGCGGCCAGGCACACCCACGGCTTGAGGGGCGCCCAGCAGGGGCGGCGAAAGTTGCGCGTGAGGCTTCGGATGGCCAAAGGAGGCAAGCATGATCGCCCGAGATCGGCCAGCCGAGGTCGGAAGAATGAATGTTTGGTGTGTCCTCATTGCCCTCGTACTTGGGTCTTTGTGCACAAAGCAGGCAAAATGGGGTGGGAGAGTTGCCGAGAGTGCGGGCGTCTGTGGAAGGATCCAGCCCGTGCGATCGTCGCCTTCGACCTGGGGGAGGACGAGGGCGGCAGCCCGCCCCTGCGCTCCTGCCTCAAGGGAAGCGGATCGGCCCGAGACCAAATCCTGGAGGTCTTGTTGCCCAAGTTCAGCAAGGCCAAGTCCGACGGCGACCAGGAGACCCACGACAAGCTCTTGGCTGTCTGCCCGTCCCTGGCAACTCAGTGGAAGCCGCCGCCCGAGCCCACTCCTGAGGAGCGTTTGGCCCAGAAGGCCCAGCAGCTGCGTCAGCTGCAGGCCCAGCAGGACGGCTCAAGAACCAATTCATCCATGCTGCGCAGACGCAGAAGGGCCTCCAGACCAAGCTCAGGACCAACATCGACGAGTGCTTGGCGACGCAGGCAGAGATCGATGAGCTCGTCGGCAAGACGCAGGCGGCTGGACCCCAGTCGGAAGCACTGCTGGCACAGCAGGCTCATCAAGCTGATGACGAAGAGTTCCGACAGTTGGGAGCAGAAGAGAAGGCATCCCTCGACGAGACCACACGCAAGCAGTATGAAGAGGCATCGACAGCTCACAAGAAGGCCCGCACCGCGCTCAAGTCAGCCACAGACGCGGGCAAGGCGGTGCGAGAGGCAGTTGAACGATTGCGCTGAGTACACCAATCTATCGAGCGTCGACGAGGGCAAGGTGGCCAGGCTCAGGCAGCAGAAGCAGACAAGGACGAGGCGCAGGAGACCACCAACCCAACAGCGGTGGACTTCACCCATGCGGCCGGGGTGGACCTGTACATCTCGCAGACGGCGGCGATGCGTGCCAGGGCCAAGGGCGTCGCCAGCTGCGGAGCACCTTGTTCCTAGCAGCACCAACTCGTTGCAGAAGAAGTCAAGACCTACAAGGATGAAGAGTGGCCATGTGGACGTGCTGTTCGCAAGTGTCACGCACTACGGGGAGCAGGTGCGATGCTTCGTGGAGCACTGCAGTTTTGACATGGTTGGCCTGGCAGAGCACCACCTGCTACCTAAGGCCGCCAAGCAGGAGGCCAAGCAGCTGCGATTCACGGGGTGGCAATCGCAGTTCACATGGACGCCGGCGGCACCGACGAAGAGGAGTGTGACAGGCACTCACGGGGGATCCAAACACGTTCAAGCCCAGCTGCGAGTGCAACCTGGGCTGCGGGTTTTTCTTTGCCGCGAGACCATCACCTTGGGTTGCGCTCGTCTCGGTTTTCGACAACCTTCATGCGTGGTTGCACATATTTCGTTCGTTGTTTTTCGACGTAGGAAGGAACGGGGGTTCACCCGGTTTTGCACATCTAGGTCTCGCCAGGAACCTTCACCCCAGGTTGCACACGCATTTGGGGTTGCACGTTCTTCGCCTCCCGAGCGTGACGTGGTGGCTTGCCAGAGCAGGCCACGTTGCGTCCGCGCACTTGCCCGACGGCGCAAGGCAAAGCGTATTCCAGAAAGAACTGCGAGACATCTCGATCATCCTCTGGCGTTTGAAAGGGGCGACGCTGGCGCCGATTTCGGTGTGCCTGGACTGCAGTGTGGGGCTGGGTGATCCCGCCAATGTATCCAAGATGGCTCAGTTGACTCGTGTGGTGAAGTTTTTTGGGGTGCCATGGTGCATTAGGTGACTGGAACAATGGCCCGACGGACATGCATAACTCGCCGTGGTTGAAAGTTCCACGAGGAGAGCTGCTGATTCCCAGTAATTGTACCGTCACCTGCACGACGGGAAGGGCAGGCCCATCGGCGCTGGTCTTCCCCCGCGAGGCTTTCCACCGTTCGTGGGCGATTTCAATCCAGTGAGGGAGGTGCCGTGGAGCCCGCATGTGGGGCTTCACCTGCGCCTGCGCTTTCGACTAGCGTCGGTTAAAGTGCAGATGCTCATTTAGCCGATGAAGATTGAGATCGACACTCGCACGGTCCTCCGAGAAAAAATGACTCTAGCGAGCCCAGCGGGATCGCGAGCGACATCTCGCGCTGACACAGAACAATGGTGAGCAAGGCGCCGATGCAGCGGGGCCAGTGGACCTTCATCCCGACGAGCTAGCCCACCTCATGGAGATCACCTACCCGATGAAGCAGAAGGACGCGGCCAGTGAGGCGCGCTGGCTCCTGGCGTTGGCAGAGACCCGAGGGCGACCAGTTCAGGGGCCTGTTGACGAGGTGGCTGGTTCGTGGGCGTATCGACTGGGCCCCGAAGGAGCTTGTTTTTTTTGAACGCGGCATTGAGAGAGAAGGCCAACTTGTGGGAAACGTTGGCAGCCAGCATGCGGAAAAGGCCAGGCATGCGAAGGACGTCAACTTGAAGACAGTGGATGGCGTGATCAAATCCCTGATCGATCGCATTGCGTGACTTGGCCAGGCTCGGGGGGGCAGCAACGACACGGGCGCAGATGAGCATGGGGGCGCGAGGGTGTTGCTCAATTTATCGCACTACTTGGATGGCACGCCGCGCCCGACATTGCGAAGCCCAGCGACAGCCGCGCCGTCTCAGAAGCGCAGGAACAAGAAGACCGGGCTGGGCGAAACAAAGACGACAGCACCAGCAGTGCGACCTTCGAATATGGGCGAGGAGAGCGACCCTTTCGCGCAACTGGATGCGGAAGCAGACGAGCCAGACCTCCTTCAATAGCAGGTCGAGGAGGAGATGTCAGACGAGCTCCAGCGACATGCGGCGAGTGCGGCGTCCACGGGGTCGGCGAGTCCAGCTGCGCCGTCAACGGCGTCGGCCTCAGTGCAGGACCAGCTGCCGCGCTGGAAGGGATCTTGCCGAGGATCCAGGCCCGGCGCCATGCCGAGTCGCAACCCCACCGCCTGCCCAGGAGTGCCATTCGCGGATGCGCAGAGAGTCCACTCAGAGTCCCAGCGGGGGACCGACCAGTTTCCCCAGCGTGGCGAGGGGTTAGGCCACGGCGGACATGTGAGGCGTGGGCCAGGTGAGCCCCTCACGGCGAGGACTGTGTTAGATGGGCCCCTCGCGTCCGCCCCCCCCCCCCCCCCCTGTGGCCGGAAAGACCAGCGAGGCGGAGTTCGGGGCTGTGCCATGTGGGCCCCTCAGCTACTCCAGCAAGCAGCAGAGCGAGTGGTCGGAACAGGCCGACCTCACCGCCGAGGTCTACCAGAGGGTTGCTCGCCAGGACGCCTTGCCTGTCGAGTATGCGCAGAGAGCCCGCCCTGAGTCTCAGAGAGGGGCCGACCAGTCTCCCCAGCGCGGCGAGGGGTTAGGCCACGGCGGACATGTGAGGTCTGTGCCAGATGGGCCCCTCACGGCGAGGACGGTGCTAGGTGGGCCCCTCGCGTCTGCCGCCCGCTGTGACCATGGGGCCACCGAGACGGAGCCGAGGACTGTGTCAGGTGGGCCCCTCAGCCACACCAGCGAGCAGCAGAGCGAGTGGTCGGGGCAGGGCGAACTCATCCCCGAGATCTGCCAGAGGGGCGCTCGCCAGGCCACCTTGCTCGTCGAGTATACGCAGAGAGCCCACTCTGAGTCTCAGAG